TTTATATTGTTGTGCAAACATCACCACCTTCTGCAGAACTTTTTTATCTTGCAGAAGTGAAACTGTACCCGTGAATCATTCACTGCCCATTGCCCCTTCAGCCCAGCCCCTGGCAGCTACCATCCAGCTTTATATCTCTATGAATTTGACTACTCTAGTCACCTCATTATCAGTGGACTCATATACAATATTTGTGCTTCTGTGACTGCTTATTTCACTTAGTATAATGTCGTCGAGGCTCATCCATGGTTTAGCAGAATTTCTTTCCTTTTTAAGGTTGAATAATCTGTTAAATATGTATACCACATTTTGTTTATCCATGTATTCATCAATGGTCAGTTGGGTTCCTTCCACCTTTCTGCTGTTGTGAAGACTGCTGCTGTGAGCGTGGGTGCACTTCAGTGCTATTTTTGCAGAGGCATTGCACAGCAGCGAGGCCCTTATCTTTTTCATCTAAGTATTGTTTTAAATGAAGAGGAAGATGTTTCTTTTAGATTCTTGTTTTTTTAAATTAAAAAAATTTTTTAAATTCAGATTAAATTTAAAGCCTAAATTTGTTACTGCTGTTAATCACTGCTTTGCTTTCTAAAGCCATATAGAGCAAGAAGTTTCTTATGGAGAAAGTGTCATATTTAGAATCTTATAGCACTATAATTTAGTTGAACCAACTAGTAACTTTTGATGGTACACTAACTATAGTATTTTATATTAAAATGCTTTTCATATATATCTGACCCTTAAACTCTCTTTAAATCTCACTGATTTATTTCTTGGGTGTGTTTCCTAGACAGTGCACCCATATTCTAAGCAGCCTTGTGAAAAGCCTTCTCTTCACATCTATGTATCAGTCAACAGAGTTGGGTTGGGAATTTTGTTTGATAATAAAAACTGAGCTAATAAAGAAGTGAAAATAGTTGTTGGTATTTTAAAGGCCGCCTTTGATGGAAGTTAGATGGAGGGACATTTGTTAAGTGTTGCACTCTAGGACAAAATGAATTGAGATTGGATATATTACTTATCAGGTGACTCTTTGTATTATGTAGGATTTTCCAGGGATTGGTTGCTTTATCATGAAATTTAATGCTTCCAAATAATTATTAGTTGTCTCTAATGAAGTCATGAAGGGGAGGAGGGAGGACCTGTGAAGAGGGTAGGGGAAAAGCATGCAAATATTGGAGGAAAATGTTTGCATCCGTCTCAATTCAAGATCATTTGAGATGAAGGCAAAGCACTACTAGTGGGGGGAGTATTTGATTTACAGTTTTCCAGGCATGCATTCTATATGTACATTCTACATACAGAACAATACATGCAGCTCCTCTGCTCAGACCAAATGTTCTTGCAAGAAACTAATAACCAACTTTGTGGTGAGATCGTATATTCTGAATCATAGCGTATATTCTGAGTCATAGTACAGTTTCCGGAGAGTTGATAATGCACTTATATATAATGCAGATTTGACTGTAAGGGGCCAGCCAGTACAATATGGTCAGAGATCATTAAGGGGTCGTTTTAACAAAGCAAACTTTCTTGAGCTCTGAGCCTAAGGAAAAGGAGAAGCACAATTGCATGCTGGAAAAGTTTCTGCAGTGTGGCTGAGACTTTCTTGCAGCATTTCTGTGATAGTCTAGAGCAGATTTAAATGCAAAGCATTAGAAATAGATGTTAATGCGGTTGGCTACAGTGGAACATAGGTCTTTTTGGCGGTTAGCCTTCCATGCCTAGGTGAAACATAGCTCTGATGTTTTCCTTTCAGTTCTCTTTGCCTGAAAAAAATGTATTGGCTAAAAAAAAGACCCACTAAATTTTTTGTGCTTCTAGGCTATATCTTTGAGAAGCAACGTAGAATAACTGATAGGAGAAAAGCTGAGTTGTGGCAGGCACAGGATTTTGCTTTTTGTTTTTTGTTTTGGCATTTGTCTCAGTTATATAAGTTAAAACAAAAAAAGAAGTTATCTTTTTCTGGCAGTGGAAATACTTTACAGTTCTAACAAGCATGACATTGACATTTGGCCAAGGTTCTTTGGGAAATACAAAATGACTTTAGTGGAGTACAGCTTCTTTCTTAGAGCTTATCTTTGGGTAGTAGAGATAAGGCAAACAAAGTTTTATACTCTGGGTCTGAAAAAGATAAGAATATAAAAATATGGGAACATAAATATGGTGTGGCCTATACTTTTAAAAAAAGCTTTATTGAAATATAATTTACATATCATGCAATTTGACCAATGCAGTGGTTTTTATTCTCACACAGTGGTACAACTGTCAGCACAATTTTAGTACATTTTCATCACCCCAATAAAAAACCGTACCCACTAGCAGTCACGCCCCAGCCCTAGGCAGTAACTAGTCAATTTTCTTTCTCTCTTTGCCTATTCTGGACATTTGAAGTCAGTGGAATCATAATATATGGTGGTCTTTTGTGACTGGCTTCTTTCACTTAGCATAACTTTCATCCATGTTATATTGTAGTACGTATCAGTATTATTTCTTTTAATTGCCAAAAAATGTTTCATTTTATGGATACACCACATTAATTCATTCATTATTTGATGGACATTTGGTTTCTTTCCATTTTTTGGCTATTATGAATAGCCGAATAATATTATGAACATTCATGTACAAGCTTGTGAGTGGACATGGGGTATCATTTATTTTGGCTATATATCTAGGAGTGGAAATCACTGGGTCATATGCTAACTATGTTTAACCTTTGAGGAACTGCTAGACTGTTTTCCAAAGTGACTGCACCATTATATTCCCACCAATTATGTGTGAAGTTTCCAATTCCTCACATCCTTGCTAATACTTGTTGTTAGCTGTCTTTTTTATTTTAGTTATGCTAATGAGTATGAAGTGTTATCTCATTGTGGTTTTGATTTGCATTTTCCCAGAGTCTAATGATGGTTGAGCATCTTGTGCTTCTTGGCCATTTTTGTATCTTTTTTGGAGCGATGTCTATTCATATCCTTTACCCATTTTAAAATTGGGTTATTTGTCTTTTTACTATTATTATTATTATTATTTTAATTAAAGTTTATTGGGGGTAACAGTGGTTAGTAAAATTACATAGGTTTCAGGTGTACAATTCTGTAATACATCATCTATATATCACATTGTGTGTTCACCACCCAGAGTCAGTTTTCCTTCCATCACCATGTATTTTTATTATTGAGTTGTAAGAATTCTTTATATTTTCTGATGCAAGTCCCTTATTAGATATATGATTTACAGATGGTTTCTCAATTCTGTGAGTTGTCTTTTTACTCTTTTGATGGTGTCCTTTGAAGCACAAAAGTTTTCCATTTTGACGTGGTCCAATTTATGTTTTTTCTTTTGTTGCTTGTGCTTTTGGTGTCTAAGAAACCATCACCTAACCCTAAATCCTCCTGTGGATTTACTCTTATGTTTTCTTCAAAGAGTTTTATAGTTTTAGCTCTTACACATTTATGTTTATGATCTATTGGGGTTAATTTTTGCATATGGTGCTAGGAAGGAGTCTTTCATTCCTGTTGCACGTGGGTATCTAGTTGTCCAGCACCATTTGTTGAAAAGACTATACTTTCCCTGTTGGATTGTTTTGGTACCATTGTCAAAATCATTTGGTCATAAATGTAACTGCATTTCTGGACTCTCTGTTCCATTGATCTATCTGTCTGTCCTTCTGTCAGTACCACACTGCCTTGATTACTGTAGTTTTATAGCAAGTTTGAAATTGGTGAGTATAGCCTTTCTACTTTGTTTTTGTTTTTCAAGGTTCTTTTGGCTATTCTGGGTCTCGTGCATTTCCATATAAATTTTAGGATCAGCTTGTTAATTTTTGAAAAAATAAAAAGCCAGCTGGGATTTTGATAGGGATTGTTTTGAATCCTGAAGACAAATTTGGGGAGTATCACCATCTTTAAGTATTAAGTGTTTCAATTCATGAACATAAGATGTCTTTGCATTGTTTAAGCCTTTAATTTCTTTCAACAATGTTTTGGAATTTTCAGTGTACGTGTCTTGCACTTTTTAAAAATTTATTCCTTAGAGTTTAAATCTTTTTTATGCTATTATAAGTAAAATTGTTTTCTTAACTTTGTTTATGGATTTTTCATTGCTGGTGTGTAGAAACAACTGATTTTTTAATTTTGATCTTGTATCTTACAACTTTGCAGAGCTTGTTTATTCTAGTAGTTTTTTAGTGGAGTCCTTAGGATTTTCTATACACAAGATTATACTATCTGCAAGTAGAGATTGTTTTACTTCTTTCTTTTCCAATCTGTATGCCTTTTATTTGTTTAATTGCCTAACTGCCCTAACCAGGACCTCTAGTACAGTGTTGAATAGAAGCTACAGTAGTAGATATCCTTGTCTTATTCCTTTTTTTAGAAAGAATCTTTATTAAATTTATTGGGGTGAATTGGTTAATAATATTATGTAAGTTTCAAGTGTACAATTCTATAATGTATCATCTTTATATTGCATTATGTGATCACCACCCAAAGTCGCTTCTCTTTCTGTCAGCATACATTTAAGCCCCTTTACCCTCTTCTACCACCCTTTGCCCCCCTTACCCTCTGGTAACCGTTAAAATGTTTTCTGTGTCTATGAGTTTTTGTTTCTTTGTTTGTCTTGTTTGTTTGTTGCTTTCAGTTTTATATTGCACATATGAATGAAATCAGGTGGTTCTCGACTTTTTCTGACTCATTTCGCTTAGCATGATAATCTCAAGATCCGTCCATGTTGTCACAAAGGGCAGCATTTCATCTTTTCTTATGGCAGAATAATCTTCCAGCGTATCCTTGTGTTATTGCTGATGTTAGAAGGTAAGCCATGTTAGTCGAAGATTTTTGGAGATATCCTTTATCAGGTTGAGGAAGTCCCCTTCTAGTTCTAGTTTGTTGAGTGTGTTTATCATGAAAGAGTGTTGGATTTTTGACAAATGCTTTTTCTGAAATAAATTACTTTTTAAAAAAATGACTGTTTTTCCTGTTTTTTCCCTTTTTTTAAATCTGCAGAAACCGACTTGCATACCAAATGCGTGGTGGAGGTAGATGCAAACAGAGTTATCCTTAATCCTGTAAATACTAACCTTTCCAAAGGCGATGCCCGGTAAGTTAAGAACCAGTGATATGATCAGTGGGGTTTTGAATGACTGAAAGCAGCAATGACTGCTGAATTGAGTTCATCTTAGCAAACAGCGAATGCTTACTATATAGAGACATATTGCCATCAAGTTGAAGAGATGAGGTCTATGATATGGAAAGACCAAATGCCAGAGTGAGTTTTTTAGATTGTTTTAGAAGCTCAGAGAAGAGAGCTTAGGTTAGATGGTGCAGTAACTGAGGAAGGCTCCTTGAAAGAGATGGTACTGGCAGGAGGATTAAGTAAGGTCTAAATGGGAAGAAGTGGGGTAGAAGGAAGGCGTTTAAGTTGCTCCTCAGTTTAGGTTGCTTTTACTTATGCCAGTTCGAATCCTGTGTGTCAGTTCGAGCCCATTTCAAATGCTTTCTTCTTCCTGAAGGCATTCCTGCAGCCCTCAGTGATTCTTTAAATTCCTGTAAACTGTAATCTCTACTACCTAATTCGGTCATTGTATGTTGTTTTGAATTGTCCTTTGTAGTTCTCTAGAAGATCATAAGGTCTTAGAGGGAAGGGACTCTGTCAGGGGTGGAGGATGAATACTGAGCATCACTTCTGGGTTTGGACGATGGTATGGACAAGAGGGAGGGCAAGAAGATGTAAAGAAAGTGAATTTGGAGAAGGAAGAGATTAATTTGACTTTTCTCAGTCAATTCAGGGAAATTAATTAAATAAGATGGGATCAGGTTACAGAAGACCTTGAAAGCAGATAAGGAAATTTGGCCTGTATTTTCATCAGTAAGATATCGCCTTTGACCGTTTTTGAATATTGTGATTAAGGAGGTGGATGAGGAAGAGTTGTCAGCAGTGTAGAGAATGTGTCTAATTGGGGAAAGACTGGCTTTTTATAGAGATCAGCTCTATCAGAGATGTTTTTATACTGACCCTGGAAGTGGAGGGCACACGTTATAGACAGTGCCTGCCATGATGCATTCCACAAAGCACATACTCTGAGTACTTGTAGAAACAATGTTGTATGTGGAAATATACACTCCATAAATGTTCTTTGGAGTTGAGTTGAGTTGAAAAGAACACTAGACTTAGAGTCAGAAAATCTGAAATCAAACACTTAACTATAGTATGTTATTGTAGCTAGTTTTTTGTTTTGTTTTGTTTTTAACTTTTGAGCCTCATCTGTGTGATGTTTACTTTACCTGTATTATAGAGGTGCTTTCCGAAGATCAAATTGGTGATTGTTAAAGTGTTTGTAAAGTGTTCTGTAAATGTTCAGCTTTATTGATATTGATATCGTGTTATTTCTTCAGCATCTCTAGCATATGGGTACTATCAGATATGCTGTTATCAAGGTGTGAAGGGTATAGATATGTCAAAAATGATGCTGGGAGTTTGGGCCTGCTAATTGAATGACCTATTGTCCTAAGTATTAATTGAAATCCTTAGTTTTTGGAGGCTGTTTATTGTTCTCAGACTTTTCAATCTGGAGACTATTGCTTTATTTGGAAATGTGGGCACCTCTGAACAAACTTGGAGGCAATATCCTATGGTAGAAAGAGTGTGGGCTTTATATAGAGACTGACTTGGGTTTAAATTCTGGCTTTGCCACTTGCTAGCATGGTTACCTACCTGTATTGCTTACTTGTAAAGTGTTTTAGTTTTCTATTGCTGCATAACCAATTATCTCAAAAGCCTAGTGGCCTAAGACAACCGTAATCATTTATTATCTCCTGGTTTCTGTGGGTCAGGAATTCAGGCCAGGCACAGTGGGGAGGGCTTGTCACTGCTTCCTGCTGTCTGGGGCCCAGCTGGAAGACTCCAAGGCTGGGGGCTGGAGTCATCTGGACAAGGCTCAGTCACCCAGGTCTGGTAGCTGATGCTGCCTGTTGCCTGGAGGCGTCGCTGGGGTAGTGGGCAGAACACTTACCGACAGTGTGGTGGCAGGTTTCAAGGGACAGGCAGGCATCCTGAGAGCGAGAAAGCCGGGTGGAAGCAGTATTGCCTTCTGTGTCCTAACCATGGGAGTCACGCAGCCTCACTTCTGTCACATTTTCTTGCTCAAGGCTGGTATAAAATTCTACACGGTGTCAAGCCGAGGAAACGTAGACTCATCTCTCAGTGGAGAAACGTCATTGTCACATAAGAAAAAGTGGCTGGGGTGGAATATGTGTTGTGGCTGTCTTTGGAAAACAGTGCCACAAGTGTGTCATAGTATCTACCCGTTAAGGTGGTGGTGAGAATAAAATGAGCACATAGAAGCAAAAAAATAGCTTTTCTTTCCTTTTGAGATCTTTAAAGCTTAGAGATTTGTGAAAGACTTAAAAAGCACTTTTTGGTTCCATAGAATATCTTGGATGACTCTTTTTTGTCCATATGCTAAAAATACAAATTGAGTATTACGTAGTGCTATAGCGTACAATCTGATAAAAAACTTAAAAATGACAACTTCCAATAATGTTGATATGTAGTGATTTTTGGTTAAATAAAGTTAAAAAGCATGGCTGTTTTAAAAAAAACAGCTTTTTTATTGAAGTATGTAACGTGAAGTATGTATACACAGAAAAGTATATACAGCTTGATGAATTTTCATAAGTTGAACACACTCCTATAACTGGCACCCAGATAAAAAACAAGAACGTTGGTAGTATGACAAAAGACCACCTCATGAGAAGTGCTTTTTCTTTTAATGTAATATCAAGGTAAAAAAGACAACAGAAATTTTGGAATGTAGCAATTCAGTGGTATATGTTCACTTCATTAAATTTGAGGGGCAAAAGGTAAGAAAGCACAAATTAAAAGCTGTTTGATATGACGTTAATTACAGCCTAGCTTATAGAATGACTAATCCATAAAACAAGTTATGGTTTTATAGGAACTATACTTATAACTAGAGAGCCAGGGATTTGAAGTTAACATGTAAGCGATCTGAGTCAGTTTGAATCACTAGTCAGAAAGGCTTAAATTAATATTTTTCCTTTAACAGCGGCAATATCCTTTTAGAATAGTATCCAATTCCATTAACCTAAAACTGTGACGAATTTTATATGTATACTTAACAACTGAAGTCAGTATACTTTGGAAGTGAACATAAATACATTTTAAAACAGTGGTTTATATACTTGTATTTTCGAATTAATTTTTCATTAACTTCTGAGAATGTAATGATTTGATGTTTATGCTTATTAAAATTAATAGAAACCATGGTTAAGTGAATAGGTAAACCGTTTCCAGTTTAATGGCTTAATCATGGGGACTTGGGACTTTTTGCTGTTGTTCTATATGGAATTTTAAAACTGTTTTGAAAATAAGATGCTTAAAATTCAGAAAATTGATAGTACAAGGCTAATAAGATTAAAAACGCTGACTTTGGAGTCAGACCCCCTGGACTGGATCCCAGCTGTACCACTTAACATGTGTGATATGGGGCAAGTCACTAAATTGTCCTCTGCCTCAGTTTATTAATCTGTAAAGTGGAGATTTAATAGTAGTTGTCTATAGGTTGTTATGAAGATTAAATGAGTTCAAATATATAAAATGGCAGTGCCTATTTATTTACAATAAACTTTATATAAATGTTAGCTATATAAATGTTGAGTATTGCTGTTATTGTTCTTATGGCCTGTATTTAACATGAAGTCCATGGTATGTTTAGTGAGTTAGAATATAACTTCATAAAGGAAGTAAAAATTTTTTTAACCAAAATGTATTCAATTCAGTGCTTAAGTATATATGCCTATCAAGAAATTACCTTGATTCAGCTTTGCAGAGTCAAACTTTATTTGATCTAGTTTGCCCAAAGTTTATGGGGCCCTTGGGGCCTAACATTACATCTGTTAGAGAACAAGAACCCCTGATTTTATGTTTACAGTGAATAAAATATTAATCCCTGCAATCTGGACTTCTCTGCATAGTATCAACTAACTTGGGAAACCAGGTCAAAACATTGCTTTTGAACATGGGTAAGAACAAAGCATTTTATCAAATATGGAAAAGATTAAGGACGAGCTCTTTCTCTTCTACAACACTCTACTTGAACCCTAGTGATTGAAATATACCAGATCAGTCTTTTTCTTATATGTATAATATTGGATACACACACTGGTAGATTTGATCTATTTATTTTCTCACGTACAGCTACACTGCTTATACTATTAATATGATCAGATGTCTTTTTGGAATTACCTTTTGCCCCGAATCAGTTTAGTTTTCCAGATTGGTCCTTGGGGTTTTCCAAATCTTCATTGGCAACATATTTACAAATCCTCTTTTAGGGTTTATAGATGACTAACTCGTTATGTATGTATTCTTAGTAGATTTTTACAAGTGTGACTCTCAATATGGGATTCTTAGCATCTAGGAGTACTTTAAGTCCCTTTTGTAACTAGTTAGGATAGTACCACGATGTAGAACAATCCCCTTTAGGTAACAAAGTAAATCTTAAGCCTTATTTTGTTTTGAATTATACCTTAAGATTTATTAAAATTTTATCCTATAATAAAATGTTAATGCTAGTTAGCTTATTATCATGATAGGGCAAAATAGTTTCTTAGGCTAAGCTTTGTCTTCTTTTTCCTTATTACCTCCTGTACCCACCAAACAGGTCTTTCCTGCTAAGTCAGGTTAAAAGGTTGATTGAGATACTTAAATTTTTTTTTTTAAAGGGAGTAAGGTGTGATTTCCCATGGAGAGTGGCAGCCTCCACTTTATGAAACAGTTTTGTTATGGAAGTTATGTATAGGTGAGCTTAGAAATGGGAATGCATTTTCCCATGGGAACTGATAGTCATTTCTAGTAAAAACACTGTTCTATTAGAAAAGTAACTTATTTAGCCTACATCTCACATATCACACTTTTTAGATTTTGATATGCCATAGAAGTGCTTTGTAGCTACTTCTCATCTCATCATGCATAATATTAAAAAGATGTGTATTCAAGAGTTGAGATTGAATAAAATTAATAATTTTAACTCCATATTGAGAACATTTTGAAGTGAAAAGGATTTTATTTTTAAAATC